GGGACGCCTGTGTCTTGGGAGGGGTGGAAAGGACGTTACCGCCACTTGGAGGAGGCGGGCTTGTCTGGGAACCCCCTTGGACAGTTAGGATCCTGCCTTGTTAGGGGATAATTGTACCTTTTAAACAATATCACTTATTGGTAGATGGCGGGTGAAAAGAAAACTGAGAAGCCGGATGCTAAGGCGAAGAAGCCAGATACTAAGGAAAAGAAGCCTGACACGAAGGACAAGAAACCTGCAGCCAAGAAGAAGGCCGATGCCGGCGGCAAGGTTAAGGCCCCGAAGAAGGGGAAGCCCCACTGCAGCCGAAACCCCGTCCTGGTCAGAGGAATCGGCCGATACTCCCGGTCGGCTATGTATTCGCGAAAGGCCATGTACAAGAGGAAGTATTCGGCCCCTAAATCCAGGGTAAGGAAGGGGTGCGGGACACCACTGACCATCGATTCCATACGTTCGTTGTGTCTTAACCTTAAGGTTTTTGTCTGCCTCTGACGCTTTGTCGCATTTGTGTTCTACTAGATTGAAAAGAAAAAGAAGGAGAAAGTTCCTACTACTGTCACAAAACCAGTTGGTGGCGACAAGAATGGTGGTACCCGAGTGGTTAAACTCCGCAAAATGGTAAGCTTTGGGGGACACTGTAGTTGGATGTTTAGTTGAGGCTTGAGAACTGTTAGCATCTTTTTGAGTACTCGGGTTTTGGAATTTTATGTTTGCCAGAGACTTAGGGAGAAAAATGGGTTTTTGGTTTGCAGTGTGGCTGTTTGATATTAAAGTAGAGTTACTCTCTCTGCTGTTGTTTCTTAGCATGTAATATAAGGAATGGTTTGTCGCACAGGGTGTTTGTGAGAGTTAATAAGAGCCTAGGACACTCACTGGCAAGGTTATAGTTCATTGGTCCACTAGAGCAGTGTTTCTTTTGTTTTTGTTTAATGTAGTTTCATTGATTTCAGAGAGGGAGAGAGAGAAATATCGATTATGAGAATGATTGATTGGCTGCCTCTTGCACATCCCACACTGGGGATTGAGCATGTGGGCAAGGCATGGGGTCTTTCTTTCATAATCGAACTGGCAGTACTGGTCTGAACTGTCTGGTTTTGTACAGTTTGTTTTCCCTCGTGGAAAAAAAGGGGAGGAAAATGGGACCGATAGGAACACACATAATTTGAATGGAAAACAAGCCTTGCCTCCTTTATAACATAACATTCTGGAGAAGGATAGTCAGGGACCTGAGAAAAGCTTGAGAAGCACTCTTACCCACCCAGTGTATAATGAATGATAGCTTGTGATGCAATCTCTAAAGTTTGAAGTAAAAGGGCTGTAGCAAAGGTTTGATTGACTATCGGCTCTGCTTAAGCTGAGGAGCTTATTTAAATAAATTTGGACCTGTGGGTTCTCTCCAGCCTCGATATTATCCTACTGAAGATGTGCCTCGAAAGCTGCTGAGCCATGGCAAGAAACCCTTCAGTCAGCATGTGCGGAGACTGCGGGCCAGCATCACTCCTGGGACCATTCTGATCATCCTCACTGGGCGCCACAGAGGCAAGGTGAGCTTGTGGTGCTTGATCGTAGTGGGTGCGTTCTGGGGAGGACTCTTCAGCACCCAGTAACTAGCATAAGATGTTTAATATTTTATTAAACAATAATTTATTACTACTTCCTGCTGTTGGTAATGTAACTTGTTACAGTTGAATCAAATACCCCTGTACCCAAAATGTTTATGTATTTGAGTTACTTCCTTTGGCTAGGTTTGCAGGAGCAGGATACTGAGTGAAAGGTTATTAATTTCTTAATGTGGAAAGTAAGGGCTGCTCCTTTTTTGAAAAGAGAACAAGCACACAAGTATTGCTCATAAACTAGTGTCACCCCTGTTAGCAGTTTGGTTCAGTTGCTTCCAGAGCTTCTATGCATATGCATATATAGACATTTCCTTGACCAAATTTAGAAACCTGTGATTTGGTTAATTCAGAACTCAGTTTCTAATTGCAGAAATGTCTACTGTTTCTGCTTACTTTACAGAGGGTGGTTTTCCTGAAGCAGCTGGACAGTGGCTTGCTACTTGTGACCGGTAAGAAAGCCGTTGGATTTTATATTCTCTGAAACTTGTCTTTCTATATTTTAACTGATTTTAGAGAGGAAGGGAGAGGGAGAGAGAAACATAAACGATGAGAGTAAATCATTGATCAGCTGCCCCCCTACTGGGTATCGAGCCCTCAACCTGGGCATGTACCCTGACCGGGAATCAAACCGCAACCTCCTGGTTCATAGGTCAATGCTCAACCGCTGAGCCATGCCAGCTGGGTTGAAATTTGTCTTTTTAAATGCTTGCAGTATACACTTTGCTTCCACCTATGTGGAAGTTTTAATGCCATGAGATGCTGAGCCCCATTTCATTGCCTTATATACATGAGTTCTAAGGAATCAGGTATTTCAATGTTATGTAACAACATTATTAAGTAACTGTCACCTAAAATGCAGAATGGTTGGCTACCAGCCCCAAGGAATGCATCCTACCCAAGACTCGTAATTGGTCTGCCATTTGGCAATAGAATGGAGTTCCTAAATGGGCAAGGGAAAAATTGAGGCCATAGGGTTCAGGCTGAACCTGCAGGCCAAGGAGGTGGTGGAGGAACCTTATTTAACCTTGGGGCACGGGTTGTTGGTGAGCCTTACTTGCAGCAGTTGACAGTGCCCGGGTGCAGGCGGACATAACACTTGAAGCAAATCATCTCATCTCAATTGTACTTCTGGGCGAGCTGGTGAGGAGAGGGCTCAATGCTGTCCTGCACCAAGTGCAGGGTGGACTCTTTATGAATGTTGTAGCCTGAGAGAGTGCAGCCATCCTCCACCTGTTTATCTGCAAGAATCAGATGCTCTCTGTCTTGGATTTTAGCTTTGACCTTCTCAGTAGTGGCACTGTGCTCAACATTGAAGGTGATGGTCTTGCCAGTCAGGGTCTTTGCAAAGATCTGCTGCCTCAAAGAGAAAGAGTGAAAGAGTATTGATGGAGGCAGCAGAAAAAGCAGTCTGGAATTTCTTCAGCTCCAGAGAAAATTCAGAAATTCAACTCTCCGGATTTCAGCAAATTCAAAGTCAGTTCTTAGAGCTTTGCTTCCCTGTTCCCTCATTATACTGATTTCTCCCCCCTTAGGACCTCTGTCCCTCAATCGAGTTCCTCTTCGTAGAACACACCAGAAATTTGTCATCGCCACCTCCACCAAAATTGATATCAGTGGTGTGAAAATCCCCAAACATCTCAATGATGCTTACTTTAAGAAGAAGAAGCTGCGCAAACCCAGACACCAGGAGGGCGAGATCTTCGACACAGAGAAAGAGGTGAGCTGCTGGTTCTGTCTTTGCTCTCATAGCCATGCCTCCCCAGTTCAGGAGTGAAACAAAAGGAAGAAAAATGAAAGTTGTAAATAATGAGGAATATCTGGGGAGTAATATTGTTCCAGATTCTGCTAAAAACGATTCTTAATACCAGGTAGGAGCTCAACTCACAATCCTGAAGTTTTGGCAGAACTCTTGAGTTACTGCTTCTGTTCTGTTGGGAATCCGTCCTTATGTGTCTTTGGTGTGTTATTGCAGTGACAAAAGGATAAGAGCTGTTGTTTTTGTTGTATTTCCCAGCCCTCCAAGGAAAGCAGTATCAAAATTGCTTTCTAAATATTCTTGGGATTTGAGTATTTGAAATGATTAATCCAGGAGTTTGGTACTTGTGCCCAACTCTTACATGCTTTTCTCTTTCTTATAGAAATATGAGATTACAGATCAGCGCAAGGTTGACCAGAAAGCTGTGGACTCACAAATTCTGCCAAAAATCAAAGCTGTTCCTCAGCTCCAGGGCTACCTCCGCTCTCTGTTCGCTCTCACCAATGGGGTTTATCCTCACAAACTGGTGTTCTGAATTTCTTATAAGAACCCGATTAAATAACTGATATGTTTCCTGTGTCTTTTTTTTTTTTTCTTGTACGCCTCGATATGTGTTTGACTCAGCCAAAGAGAATTGGAAGCACTTCCTTAGGGTCCAGCTTCTCAGCTTTTTCACCCAGCACCTACCAATATAAAATAGCATTTCTCCAATCGCTAAGCCAGTTAGTGTACATGGATGAGATAAGTCTTTAGGTCACAGACTCATCCCATTCAATGATTTACAATCCATTTCTCACCCATCTAATTCTCAGCCTTACCCCTATAATCATCTATAATAAAATAATGATAAGCTAATTAGACGACAAAGCCAAGGCTTCGAGTGAAGCCCGGGACCCAGGTGCCAACAGCTAGGGAAGGAAGGCCTACTCTTGTATGATTTTTGTGCTTCTGGCCTCTAGTTAATTTATTAAAGCTTACACAGCAAATGAATATTGTTATTTACCCTCCTTTTTAAAACTAATATATAGTACATTGTATGACTATAGAAATATACATATTTTGATAATTCCATAAAAAGTGTCTATCTTTAGTGCTACATAGTACAGTAGTCCCCCACTTATCCATGGGGAATGTGGTCTAAGACCTGGTGGATTCCTGAAACATGAATAGTGTCAAATCCTGTGTATACTGTTTTTTTCTATACATACATACCTATGACAAAGTTTAATTTATAAATTGGAGACATCAATTATGCTGTAATAAAAGTTATGTGAATGTGGTCTTAAAATACATTCACCTTCATGCTGAGATGAAGTAGGCATTGTGGTAAGATGTTAGGCTGTGGACTCTGGAGGATCATCTGCTTCGGTGACCCTGGATCACTAAGCCATGACACTCTACGGTTGGTCTTTTTATGACTAGCTAGCATATGTAGCATGTGTACACTGGACAAGGGACAATTCATATCCCAAGTCGGACAAAGAGGGACTGTTGAGAGACTTCAGCGCATGACTTGGGATGGTGCACAATTTAAAACGAATTATTTGTGGAATTTTAATGTTTTTGGACTGGTTAACTGCAGGTAACTGAAACGGTGGAAAACAAAACCTTTGGTAAGAACTGTCTTGTTGGCCCTGAATCAAGGCCAGCAGTTTGCTGAAGCTGCTGGTTTCAAGCAGGAGCCTAAAGAAATGTCTTTCTATGGTCTGTTGGCCATTTCAGAACTTAGGAAATGTGGAATGGTCAATTCATTAGAAAGAAACATCTGGGGGAAAAAACTGACTAGCATCATTCTATGGATATTTGGGTTTCCATTTGCAATTACAAACAATGTAGTAAATGGCATTAAGTATGCGGATGGAGAGCCAAGTAGGTAGTGTTTTGTTTTTCCCAAGGTGGAGGCTTTATGCATTTGGTTTCTATCAGAACGCCAAGGCTGTACCAGTTTATACTCCTGGGCAAGAATGCCTGTTGAACAATGGGTCATCAGATGGGTTTTTGGCAATAGAGAAGTAAAAATGGCTCTGATGGGTTTTGGTTTTATTTATTTTTTAAATATATTTTATTGATTTTTTACAGAGAGGAAGGGAGAGGGATAGAGAACTAGAAACATCGATCAGCTGCCTCCTGCACACTCCCCACTGGGGCTGTGCCCGCAACCAAGGTACATGCCCTTGACCAGAATCGAACCTGGGACCCTTGAGTCCACAGGACGACACTCTATCTGCTGAGCCAAACTGGTTAGGGCGGGTTTTGGTTTTAAAGTTGATTTTCTTGATACATATTTACACTTGGTGAAATTCCTGATTTTTAGTGTGCAGCTTTGTGACATCTATAGTTTGTAAGCACCACTATCACTAAAGATCCTGCATGCTCTTTTTTAAATAAAACCTTTCACCCACCCCTTTGATGCCATCAGTTGTTCTCTGTTGGTCCTTTTCTGTTTGGCTTGTTTTTTTATTTTCCACATATAAGTGAAATCTCACAGTATTTGCATGCTCTTTTAAAGTCAGCTCCCACTGTAGGTAACCAATGGTAGAATTTCTGTTTCCGAGTTTTGCCTTTTCCAGAGCTCCAGATAGTATGTTAAATCTTGGCATAACATTTTTTGTTCATGCTTCAGTAGGTCTTACTGCCAATCAGTATTCCATTGTATCAAAGTATTACTATTCTAAATTTCACCCATTGAAAGGCATTGGGTTTGTCTACAATTATTGGAGATTATGAATAAAGCCACTAAACAATTGCATACAGATTTTTGTGTGGACATGTTTTCATTTCTCTTGGGTGATACTAAACGACAGTCACCACGCTGCACATTACTTCCCCATGTTTGTCTTTTTTATATTCTAACCATTCCACTGGTGTACAGTGATAGTCTCTCATCCATTTTTTAAAAAAAAATCCTCACCTGAGGATGTGTTTTTTTAATTGATTTGAGAGGGAGAGAAACATCCATTGGTTGTCTCCTGTATATGCCTCAACAGGGGTTCAAACCCACAACCTAGATATGTGCCCTGACCAGGAATTGAACCAGCGACCTCCTGGTATTTGGAATGACATTCAACCAACAGAACCACACAGGCCTTGGGTAAATTTCCAGAAGTTAAATGATGGCTCAGAAGGCATGGTCCTTCTATGACCTTTGCATATGTATAGCCAAAGTGATTTACCAAAAGGGCCATGCTAATTTAAAGTGCCCCCAGAACAGATGTGTTCACCCCAGAGCTTCACCATCCCTGGGTTCAGACACAAGGGAACTGAGACCCCAACCCAGGCAGTCCATGATTAGAGCACCCTGTACATTGCATTTCATGTAAATGCTTTCCTTTGGTTTACTAAATCCCCCTCTCCCACCCTCATGTTTATATAGCTAACTCATACACATCAGTTACCAGCACTCAATGCGACATCCTCAGGGAACCTTCCCACTTTTCAGACCAGGTGCCTGGACTTCTCATCCCCTTTCGAATCACTTGCTTCACGTGACTTCCCATCCTAAGCTTCGTGAGGCAGGGAAGCTAAGTGTCAGACCTAACACTTAGCTTGCACAAAGTAGGCACAGTAAATGTCGACTGACTGAAAACAGTGTTCGCTTTTCCTCTGGTGCAAACTATGGTCCTCTCTTTTGCCCACTCTTCTTTTGTGGGGCTTCTGCCTCTTAATCTGTTTTGCAGTGGGGAAATGTTTGCAAATTAGCAAATTCCCATCAGAAATTCTGGTGCACCAAGGCCCTTTATGCTCGCAAGGGGGTGCCAGAGAACGCGTCTTTCTGAGCTCCGTGGTGCTGATTTTTCTGTAGAGCTGCTGTTTATTTTTATGGATTTTTAGAAAGGGAGGAGAGAGAGATCGGCTGCCTTCTGCAGACCCCGCACTGTGGGTAGAGCCCAAAACCTGGGTACGTGCCCTGACTGGGTTTCGAACCTGGGAGCCACGCCAGCCGGGCGAGAGCTGTTCTTCAAGCTTCTTTGTCGTTAGGTTTTTCATCCATGTGGATGCTGGTCCCTTAGTTATGATCATTCAAAAAGCTCTAAGGAGACATTCTCCCTCTTCACTTTCAAATATCTTTCCTCAGATTTCTTTTCCCTGTCGCCTCATAAACCTGCCCAAGAAGCTGAAAGAATATTCCTTGAAAACAAACAACCACCACCAAAAAAAACGACCCACAGATCACTTGAAAAAAAGACTGAGTAGGTGTGTGTGTGTTTCCTCTTTGTGACAGTGATTAGTGAGGTGGAAATAATCCATCTCCCCCACAGATTCTGTTCGTGTGTGTGTCTCTTTAGCAAAGGTGTGTGTGTGTTCCTTGTGTTTTCAAAGACCTTAAAAATTAACATGGCTGCTTTGTTTAAAGCTATTTCAAGCTCTATTAGGCTTATCAAGGACCACTTATCTTTATGCCACACTCGTATTTTTTTGAGCCCGCTAAGGATTACAGACTCGTTTTAGACAGTCAGCTGGTGCAGAAAAGCCAGCAGAAGGGAGAGAGAGATTGCAAAATCCCAGAGGGGCCCTGCTGGGGTAGCGAGGAGATGGTCTGAATCAACAAGCTGGCTCTCTCTTGGGGAGGTGCCTCCCAGGGGAAACTGAGTCCCAACTCCTAAGAGTTTTCTCATGCTTCCTCTTTGCTTCCAACTTAAGGTTGCCCAGCTAACACCTTCTCTTGCTCCTTTTCCCATTCCAACTCCCCCCCCACCCCCCACCCCCCGCCGTTCTCAAATGAAAGTATGTAAAGGGCAATTCCAAAGAAATCATAAGCTTTCCTTTCTATGAATCTGTGAATGGATGTTTTCTGTGTGCACAGTGTGTGATTGTGTGTGTGTGTGTATGTGTGTGCTTGCCTTGACTAAATTTAGATTCTTTTCCAACAAGCTCCCAGCATCCAGTTCTTTTGACCAGGGACTTTCTTTGTCCTGCTGATCCCGTGTAGAAATTCCCAGTAAATGGTCTTTTTTCCAGACGGGGTTCTATAAATATTAACTCATCAGCAGCCTCATCATGGTACAGTGGCAGCCATGTGGCCCGATGACTAATAACTGTTGCTAAAATATTAAATAACTACTCATTATGCAATCTACAGACTTTCAGTCCTGGATATGTGCTATTTTCACTCATTGTGGAGAAAGACAGTAGTTCCTGGGCACCTTGACTCCTGGTCTTGAAATCTAAACAAAAGCAGGGGAATGTTTCTCTGAGCTGCACACCATGGTTATTTAGATCCCAAAACCTGAGCATTAAAAAATTGTGATGGTTGCCCTCACTGGTTTGGCTCAGTGGATAGAGCGTTGGCCTGAGGATTAAAGGGTCCCAGGTTCGATTCCAGTCAAGGGCATGTACCTTGGCTGCGGGCACATCCCCAATAGGGAGTGTGCAGGAGGCAGCTGATCAATGTTTCTCTCTCATCGATGTTTCTAACTCTCTATCCCTCTCCCTTCCTCTCTGTAAAAAATCAATAACATATATTTTTTTAAAATTGTGATGGTTGCCATTTGGTTTGGACCTTGTGAGCAAAAGGAATGAAACAGGGGTGTCTTTACAGCCCAAATAAGGAAGCTGGGATTGTAGAATGAGAGAGACCTAGGTTCATCTCTGAGGTTGAGTGTTTACTGGCTTTGAGACTTTGAACAAAGTATCTAACTGGGCCTTGGTGTCCCAGCCGAAAGTGGGGAGAATAATACTACTTCTCTCAGAGGGCTGTTACCAGGATTTGCTGAAATGGCCATTCTTTCACATTGCCTGTTTTGTTATTATTTTTATGGCAATATTTGCTCTGAACTGCTGGACTTATTGTCACTTTGCTTTTTTTTTTTTTTTTTTTTTAAATATATATTTTATTGATTTTTTTTACAGAGAGGAAGGGTGAGAGATAGAGAGTTAGAAACATCGATGAGAGAGAAACATCGATCAGCTGCCTCCTGCACATCTCCTACTGGGGATATGCCCGCAACCCAGGTATATGCCCTTGACCGGAATCGAACCTGGGACCTTTCAGTCCGCAGGCCAACGCTCTATCCACTGAGCCAAACCGGTTTCGGCTTATTGTCACTTTGCTTTTTATCTATCCCCTCACACTAGATTGTCAGTTCTTTTTTAGAAATTGTTTTATTTTATTGATTTTTAAAAATGTATCTTTATTGTTCAAAGTATTACAGATGTCCCCTTTTTCTCCCATTGACCTCTCCCACTCTTTCCTCCTCCCCAGTATTGCTTCTTCTTTTTTTTTTTTTTTTTTTTTTTTTAGAGAGAGAGAGGGAGAGAAACATTGATATGACAGGGAAACACACCAATTGGTTGCCTCCCGCATGTACCTGGATGGCTGAGGATTGAATCCGAAACCTGGGTATGTGACCTGACCAGAAATCATACCCGCCACTTTTTGGTGTACAGGAGGACGCTCCAATCCCCAGAGCCACCCAGCCAGGGCAGCTTCTTTCAGAGAAGACTTTTCTGCCTTGCTCAGCACGGTAACCCCACACCAACAACAACGTCTGTCACACATCAGTAATCAAGAAATACTTGTTGAGTGACTAAGAGAAGAATAGCCATCTCCCTATGCATGATTTTCTGCATTTGTTAGATTAGCTGTCCAGGTTTTTGAGAGCAGGGAGTCAATTTTTCATATATTATTTCAGACATTCAGATATATTGTATCTCCATTCTATAGACCTCCCAGGATTTGACACCTACTAGTGGCTTAACAAATGTTTGAGGAATAAACATAATGAAATTAACAATAATTGTAAAGGACATGAGATTGTTGCAACAGTACAATGTATATGATTTATTTGTTTGGGAGGAGGCAGTGCCGGATGGAGCTAGCTAGGGGTTCAAGTCTCCATCCTGCCAATTCCTCAGCAGGTGCAAGTCACTTAATTCTGAGCCTCAGTTCCTTGTAAAATGGGGCTATTAATGAATACTCTGAAGGGTGTTATGATGGATAAATAAATTGATGTACCCTCATTCAGGTGCTCCAAAGCTTTTATTTTTTAATTTTTTGCTTTTTTTCAGAAGTAATGCATGCTCTAGGAAGGAAACTTGGGAAACATTCCAAAGTAAAAACCACAAATTCCCCAGTCACCTGGAAATGCACTCCCGAGATTCACCCAAATGTTATCAGGAATAATACCTTCCCAGACATTTATTCTACACCTATGGTCACACATGCATGTAATTTGAAAAATGCAATCACACTATAAACACGATTAAATCTCAAAATTTCCTTACTACTTTGGCCTGACTTTTTTCCATTTAGCAATCTATCATAACATTTACTTGTGTCAATATTCTTCATAAACATTACTCTGATGACTTCATAATATTCTATCTAATGGATATACCATTATTATAGTCCCATATTGTTGGACATTTAGACTGATTATAATTCCCCTCTGATAAACAATACTAAGCTGTACATCCCTGTATACCTATCCTTAACTATGGATTGAATTATTTCTTTTGGACAACTTCCTCAAAGTTGAATTGCTGAATCAAAGGGGATGCATCTTTATTTTTTTAATATATATATTTTATTGATTTTTTACAGAGAGGAAGGGAGAGAGATAGAGAGTTAGAAATATCAATGAGAGAGAAACATCGATCAGCTGCCTCCCGCACATCTCCTACTGGGGATGTGCCGCAACCCAGGTACATGCCCTTGACCGGAATCGAACCCAGGACCTTTCAGTCCGCAGGCCCACGCTCTATCCACTGAGCCAAACCGGTTTCGGCAGGGGATGCATCTTAATGTTCTTCAAGTTTATTTATTTACTAGTGACCAGGTGCACAGATTCGTGCACATTGAAAGGAAATTAATTAGAAGAAATATTTTTATATCACTATTCACCTTTATAATAGAAGTGTCGATCAAATTCATGATCGACAATGACAGATCAAAACATGCGTGCGATTGGCACCAGCGAGAGCTTTATATGTATGGTGCATGTGGGAGTCAACTTAGCCTTCTATATATGTAGAATAAACTTGTCTAATTAGACCAGCTTTCTGATTTAGCTAAACTTTTTCCAGCCCAGTGAAGCACCCCAACTTCTCTTTCAGGTATTTGTCAGCAACACAGCAGTAAATATCAACACAACAGATTATTATTGTAGATCACACAGGAAGAACAAAGGGTAAAATATTTAACTGCAGCAGTGTTTGACTATATTCTGCGCAGTGAGAAAACCTGAAGTCATTTTCAAGGTCCACCATTTCTTACTTCTTTTTAGTTGGGTCATAGCTACCGGATGGTCGGATGGACACTTATTATTTTAGCCTTTTATATATGTAGATTCTTAATTATAAGTATTTTTTAGAGCTGTTTTAGGTTCCCATTGAGAGGAAAGTACTGATATTTCCTGTGTATCTGCTGCCCCCACACATGCATAGTTTTCCCCATTATTAACATATGGCACCAGATGGTACATTTGTTATAATCAATGAACCTACATAGACACATTATCACCCCAAGTCCATTGTTTTCATTAGGTTTCACTCTTTTTTTTTTCTTTTTCTTTTTAATATATTTTATTGACTTTTTACAGAGAGGAAGGAAGAGGGATAGAGAGTCAGAAACATCGATGAGAGAGAAACATCAGCTGCCTCCTGCACACTCCCCACTGGGGATGTGCCCGCAACCAAGGTACGTGCCCTTGACTGGAATTGAACCTGGGACCCTTGAGTCTGCAGGCCGATGCTCTATCCACTGAGCCAAACCGGCTAGGGCAGGTTTCACTCTTGCTGTTCTATATTCTATGAGTTTGGACAAATGTAAAATGACATGCCATCATGGTATCTACAGTATATTTTCACTGCCCCAAAAATCCTCTGTATCCTATTTATTTATGACTCTCTCCCCCTGCCCTCTGGCAACCAGAGATCCTTTTATTGTCTCCATAGTGTCGCCTTTTCCAGAATGTCATGTAGTTGGAGTCATATGATATGTAGCCTTTTCAGATGGGCTTCTTTCACTTAGTAATATGGATTTCAGGTCCCTCAACATCTCTCAGGGCTGGGTAGCCATTTCTTTAGCACCAAGTAATATTCCAGTGTCTGGATGCACTAGAGTTTATTTATGCATTCACCTACTGAAGGGCATCTTGGTTACTTCCAAGTTTTGGCAATTATGAATAAAACTGCTATAAACATCCATGTGCAGGCTTTTGGTGGACACACATTTTCAAGTCCTTTGATACAAAGGAGCGCTTTATTTTTTGCAAGCATGAAAACAATACAAGGATAACATTCTCATCTCAAAGTTCTAGACCAGTCCTACTCTGCTTGGGAACTCACATTAACAATTTGGTATGTATTCTCCCATACATTTTTAGGTTTTTTTTCATATTTGTATAAAGATTGGATGGTGTGCGTATATTTAAGGTTTATATCAATCAGTGTTGAATGTTGAAATATAGCAAATAGTTTGAACTTTCATTCAGGGAGGATTTATTATTGCCAGACAGTGGACACCAAGCATTGTGACTGGTGTTTTATTTTCATTGAGGTTTTTCTTTTTTTTTTTTTAAATATATTTTATTGATTTTTTTACAGAGAGGAAGGGAGAGAGATAGAGAGCTAGAAACATCGATGAGAGAGAAGCATCGATCAGCTGCCTCCTGCGCATCTCCCACTGGGGATGTGCCCGCAACCCAGGTACATGCCCTTGACCGGAATCAAACCTGTGACCTTTCAATCCGCAAGCTGACGCTCTATCCACTGAGCCAAACTGGTTTCGGTGATATCGTTAACTTTTACCCTAAAAAAATTTGAGCCAATTTATAAGGCAAAAAATGCTATTTCTTTGGATACCTAAAAATCCAAATATTAACATGAGGGATAAAACAAGTTTTAATTTTTTAATTATGTGAAATTTATTTTCTAACTTACTAATTTTGGTTTCTTTTAACTTTTAATTTTAGCCATATGCTTGTTATTAGATTACCTTTTGTGTGTGAAGAGCAGCCTATTCTTATTCAATCAGTGTAACATCCCATGGCATCTCACCCAAGATTACAAATAGAGTTTTTAAAGGTCTCAGGCCTTTTCTTTTAATCATCAAAAAAGTAGTCTCCTACCTGCTTTCTTACTATCCCTATGGGATATACTGTAGTTCTCAACTTAGTGAATCTGAGTGAACAGAACTTTTTTCAGAAGTGTGATATGTATAGAGTAATTCTGGTCCCTGTTTTGATTGATCTACTTCTCTTTTAGTATCTAAGTTCTAATTCTTCTGTTTACAATCCATTTCTGACATTTGGACAAATTTGGCCAGCTCCTTTCTTTATAGGTAACTAATGTTACCAGGGGATTCTCCCATTGTGGTTTCTTGGCATATATGACTGTAGCCAGGTGCTAGGGACCTAATCCTCAGAATTTCTTGAGGATTCAGACAGTTACAACAACAGATGTTTCACAAATGTTGTGGTTGAGATTAAAACTAATTAATAGAAATACATTGCTTAGAAATAATTATCCACAGATCTAAGTAACAGAAATATCTTTCTCTAATGTTAAATACATAATTGTTTGGAGGGGATGGGGAACAACTTGAAATGAATCAGTCAACACCTTCACATTACTCATTCTTTTCATATACTTCAAATTTGTACTTAATGCCTTTTTCCTCCTGGACATCAGAAAGAACACCTGGGTACTCTGGGAGAAGTTTATATTTCTCCAAATCAATTTCTGGGAAAAATGTATCACTTTCAAATTCCTGCATGATCCTTGTCACAAAGAGTCGTTGACGGCAGGGCTTGTTCATGGCTTCCTTATAAACGGAACTGCCTCCTACTATCCAAACCATATCCACTTTATTTTTTAATTCTGGTTCCTCAATAAGTTTTAAGGCATCATCCAGACTTTTGGCAAGAAAATGAGCTCCTTTTGGAGGTTCCTTGAGTTCTCTACTGAGAACTAAATTAATCCTGTCCTTTAAAGGCTGATTCTTCTTGGGAATGGAGAACCAGGTCTTCCTACCCATAATCACCAAATTCTGTTTACCTTTTGCTGAAGAGGTTGTGGTCATTCTTTGGAAATACTTGAATTCATTCCTGAGCGGGGGCCAAGGCAGGTCTCCGTTCTTGCCGATGCCCATGTTCTGGGACACAGCGGCGATGCAGTTGAGAGTACGAACCATGACGGCGGCACCAAAAACCTTCTTCATTGAGGTTTTTTTTAATATAGTTTTGTTGATTTCAGAGAGGAAGAGAGAGTTAGAAACATCAATGATGAGAGAGAATCACCCATCAGCTGCCTCCTGCACACCCCCCACTAGGGATCGAGCCTGCAACCTGGGCATGTGCCCCTGATGGAATGGAACCCAGGACCCTTCAGTCCACAGGCCAACGCTGTATCCACTGAGCCAAACCAGCTAGGGCTTTCATTGAGTTTTGAGTGCTAGATTTTTTAGTAAATATGAAGCACCTACTGTGCGGTCCTACCTAGGGCTTATGAACAAGTGTGCAGCGCCTACTCTGCGCCCTATTTTTTGCACATATCACATTTAAACGTGAGAGCAGGGAGTGAACCTAAATGCTCTGTGGGGGCTCTAGCCTGAGCGAGGGGTGCACACCTGAGTCGGAAGCCTCTTCCCCAGGTGGACTGCAGACCCAGGGCGCCCCCAAATGGCTAGGGCAAGAAGGGGAGCGGGAGGTCAGTCTGAGAGCCAGATGGATTCAAAGGCGACGTGGAAATGCCCCGGACCCCGGCTCCCGGCACTGCAGGGCGGTGGGCGGGGCCAGCGGTGGGCCGGGCCGTATTGTCCGCTCCGCGGGGCATGCCGGGAGCCCCGCCCCCAACATGGCGTCTCACTGACAGTTGGCTGCCGAGCGCCAGAGGCGGATCCTGCTCCTCAGGGCGGCGGCGGCGGGGCCGGGGTCTCCGGGGCCGGGGGCTGCGGGGATGGCGGCTCGGACCGCCTAGGGCGGAGCTGCACGGGCGAGGCGGCGAGCGGGGCGTTGCAGGCGGGCGCGCCTGCTGCTGCCATGGACTGGTGAGCGCGGCGACTCCTGCTCGCGTCTCCCCGGGCCGGGCGGCTGCTCCTCTCCGTCAGCATCTCAGCCGGGGCCATGGGCTCGTCGGCGGCCGCGGCAGCTGCTGCGGCGGCGGCCGCGGACTCGGCGCAGTGGCTCTCGGTGAAGGAAGAGACCATCTTTCTGCACGACGGGCTCATCCGCGTCACCGACCTGGCCGAGCTGCCCAGCGAGATCCTCGGGGCCCCGGAGGCCGCCGACACCGACTTGGAGGTGAGCGAGCGCGGCCGCCCCCCTCCTCTCCGCCGTCAGAGGAGCCCCCCCGCCCCGCACCCCTGGGGTCGGATCGCACCTCGGCCCCGAGCCCGCGGGGGCTGCCCGGGCCGGTGCGTGGGGGCGCGCGGCGGGCAGGTGGGGGCGCGCGGCCGCCGGGCTGCAGACCGCTCGCCGCCCTCCCTCGCCCTCGGACCCCGGCCCCGCCGGGGCTGGCATTTGCGTGTTCGTCTCGGCACCAGCATTTTATTAGACCGGCACCCGGCGCGGCCTTCGCGCCCCGGGGGAGCCACTGCCGCCTCCCCAGCCTCCCTCCCCTCCCCCACGGACCCCCGGACTCACTTCACGGGCACACCCAGGCTGCCCGGCTTTGGGGACATTTCCATCTTAGCGCGACGCATCACCCCTCTTTCCTTCCCCAGTTCGGTGTTGATTTTTATTTTATTTTATTTTTTTGCCCCGGTGGGGGTTAGCGGCTTCTGCCGGTCCGCCGTGGGCAGTCCGGCAGCTGTGTGTCACGCCTCGGATGGACACGGGGCCTTTGTCAGGGAAGCGGGCGGTGTGGCCCGCGGGGGGTGCGGTGCGGCCCTCCGAGCGCTCTCCGCCCGGGGTCACGGGCGCTTTAGGCCGCGAGGCCCTTCTGTGAGCGCGGGGGTCGCCGCGACGCCCCCGGCGTAGGCGCCACGGCAGGTGCAAAAGCAGGTCTCAGCCACGGGGCTCCTGCTTCGGGGGCAGAAGGAAACCACGTAGGCTGGGTTATGGGAACTGCCATCGACCTCCCAGCGGTGGGAAGGCGGCCGATCGCTTCTTCGAGGCCAGCGATGCAGACGCTGCCCACCCCCACCCCCCACCCCCGACCCTCCCCTTCACTTGGTGGGATGACAGGCGGACGTGTCGGTGTAGCGCGGGGTGTCTTGAAATTCTTACCCGAAGGAGGCTCTCTGGGGCAGGGCGCAGAGCGGAGGGCCTGCCTGCAGGCTGTACACGGAATGCGAGGAATCTTTTGTGTTTTTCGGGTTTGCATGCCCTTTGGCTTTGGGCACGAGGAACATCTCTGGAAATGGATGAAGACCCATTACTGCCCCTTTGTGGAAACGGCCGTGATGGGATCGCCTTGGCTGAGACCTTCCTTTGGACGTGCCTGAGATGCGAAAACGGTCCACTGTATTTTTGAGTCTGGATTTGAGGCTGAGGCTGCAGCATTCCCATTGTGAGCTCTTAATTGGTTTATTTTACAGCCTGGCCACCAAAACAGAGGAAGATACGAGTTGCTAGGGAATTCCTAACATTGAATCATAGTTTTATTGTATCTCATTTGGGCTTGCTCTATAAAAAGTAAGGTGTGTGTCTAAGTGTCTTATCTGCTTGAAAACTCAGAGGTACTATGCTGTGATGGTGGAATCTTTTAATTTAATTGGCTCTATTGTACGAGATATGGGAAGTGGATGCTCTTTGTTCCTTAGAGACCAATCTAACTTCACAGGTCCAAAAAATGTATATATGCAATTTATTTATTGTTTTAGGATTAAAAAGAGTAGTAGTTAGGAATGCTTCAATTGTTAAGTTGGTTTTCCTAAGATGTTTACTGTATAAATGTGTTGAATGAATTTGTCAGCTGTTTCCACAGAAGAATGATTTTAAAAAGAAAGAACATCTCTGGCCTGAGAGATTAAAGAAGAAAAAACATCTTAAAAAATTTATGGTTTGACCTCTCAGAAACCAATATGTGTAAGGGTGATAAACATTTATGGCAGTTGTAAAGAACTTTTTTTTATTTCTTTCCATAGGCTACATAGTATCAGGAGAAGTGGGTAGCTAAGAATGTTTTTGTAGCTAATAGGTTTGTATTTGTGTGGGTGTGTTCATATTTAATTACTTAATTATGATAGTATGGATTAAGTGTATCCTTTGTGTCTGGCCTCATCTTACTAAATTCTCAAAAGGATCCTAGTAGCTACAAGTTGTTACTCATTATAACAATTGTAAATATTGCACCCATGGTACAGAAAAGGCAAGTAATATGCTGTAATTTACATCCCTGTGACTATTTTTTAAAACCAATATATTTTTACTAGAGGCCTGGTGCATGACATTTGTGCACTGGTGGGGGGGTCATTCAGCCCAGCCTGTGCCCTCTCACAGTCTGGGACCCCTTAGGGCACATCCTTTGAGGGGTCCTTTGCACTGCCTCAGAGGCAGGAGAGGCTCGCCAGCTGTGAGCCCAGCTTCTGGCTGAGTGGTGCTCCCCCTGTGGGAGCACACTGACCACCAGGGGGCAGCTCCTGTGTTGAGTGTCTGTCCCCTGGTGGTCAGTGCGCATCATAGCGACTGGTCTTTCCACTGTTCAGTCGATTTGCATATTAGCCTTTTATTATATAGGAGGATTGACTTTAGAAAGGGAGGTAGAGGGAGAGAGATAGAAACATCAATGATGAGAGAGAACCATTGATCGGCTGCCTCCTGCACGCCCCCTACTGGAGATTGAGCCTCAAATATGGGCATATGCCCTGACCAGGTATCAAATCAGGACCTGGTTCATAGGTCGACCCTCAACCACTGAGCCACACAGGCCAGGCCCCATGACTATTTTGTAACTACCAATTTGTATTTCTCAATCACCTTTTTCACCCAGTCCCCAAACCTCCCTTCCATCTGGCAGCCCTTAGTCTGTTCTCTGCATCTGAGTCAGTGTCTATTTTGTTTTGTAGATTCCCCATATAAGTGAAATCATATGGTATTTATTTTTCTCTGTCTGATTTATTTCACTGAGCATAATACCTCTTGGTCCATCCATGCTTTTTCAAATGGTAAGATTTCATTCTTTTTTATGGTCAAGTAATAGTCCATTGTACATACAGTATGTACCTCAACTTTTTTATGCACTCCTCCATTAATGGGCTCTGATAACATTATTTTTTCACATTTGAGAAAGATTAGAGGCCCATCAACTTTTTAAAAACTAACTTTTGAAATACTACCACCCCTATGAATTACTCTCTTTCATGCCTCTCCTTCCAGTGGACATTTCGGTGAACAATGGCCATTTTTTTTTTTAAAAACAGCCACTTAAAAAAAATTTATTTTAGAGAGAGAGGAGGGGGAGGGAGAGAGAGAGAGAGAGAGAGAGAGAGAGAGAGAGAGAGAGAGAGGAGAGAGAGAGAGAGACTTGTTTTCCCACTTATTGATGCATTCATTGGTTGATTCTTGTATGTGCCTTGACGGGGAATGAACTCACAACTGATGCCCTAACCAACTGAGCTACTCAGCCAGGGGCAATGGCCAAATTTTCACCAGGGTTTTAGAGTTCTGTAGAATCCTTCAGTTAACAATTTTGCATTTTGGGAGGTGAGACTCAAATTAAGCCAACTAATTTATGGTTGTGAACCTTAATGTATAAGACTGCATTAGCAAGCATTTGTGATCTTGCTTCCCAGCAGTTGTCATCAGCCTCTCAAGTAAATTCTTTTTTTTGTTGTTAATCCTCACCCGAGGATGTTTTTCCATTGATTTTTAGAGAGTGAAGGGAGAGGGAGAGACACAAAGAGAGAAACATTGATGTGAGAGAGATACATTGATTGATTGCCTTCTACACGCACCCTGACCGGGGATTAAGCCTGCAACCTACATAAAATGCCCTTGACTGGAATCGAACCCGGGACCCTTCAGTCCACAGGCCCAATGCTCTAGCCACTGAGCCAAAGTGGTTAGGGTTCAAGTGAATTCTTACAAAAATTTTAAAAAAGAAAAGACTGCACTAGCTGAAATACAGTTGCAGAATTTTAGAGCAAGAAGATGCTTAGCAATAATTTCATTCATTTTAGGAAGAAGTTATCTGAGATTAGGAGAGATTATGACTTGGTCCCTGTAGTGTAGCTAGTTAAGGAAGAGCAAAGGATTAGACCCTTGCTTTCCTGCCTTTGAATTCCACTGTTCTTTTCACTCTGTAAGTGCTGCTCAAAGTTAAATGTCAATATGAAAAAAGAACCCATCCTGAGAAGTAGATCAGCATTAACTTAGCATTTTAATTTAAGCAAAAGATGAGCATTTGAATTAAGAGTTTTTCCCCAGTAAATTATAAAGGAAGGTGTTTTGTTTTATTTATGTATATATATTTATTGATTTCAGAGAAAGGGAGAAGGAGAGAGAGAGACAGAAGTATCAGTGATGAGAGAGAATCACTGATTGGCTGTGGGGATCGAGCCTGCAACCCAGGCATATGCCCCTGACCTGAATCAAACCACAGGCTCACACTCTAAGAGCTAAAGAAAGGTGTTTTGTTTTTTAAATCAAATAGTGTTTAATCAACAAATTTATTCAATGAGTATTTGTGGAATTCAGGAGTGGGATGGGCCCTCTCTCCGCAGTGTTGGGGGCATAGCAGGGGATAAAAAAATTCTTAGTCCTGGTTTGGCTCAGTGGATAGAGTATTGGCCTGCGGACCAAAGGGTCCTGGGTTCAAGTCCAGTCAAGGGCATGTATCTAGGTTGCAGGCTCCTCCCTGGCCCTGGTTGGGGCGTGTGCAGGAGGCAACCAATCGATGTGTTTCTCTGATATCGATATTTCTCTCTGTCTTTCCC